TAGCAGTAGTTAGCCAGCAGCAGCAGCAGCAGCAGTAAGCCAGCAGCAGTAGCGTAGCTAGCTAGCAGGCCAGCCAGCTAGCAGTAGCAGTAGCAGCCAGCAGTAGCACATAGTAGCCAGTAGCAGTAGCAAGCAGCAGTAGCCCAGCAGTAGTATGCCAGTAGCGTAGCAGCAAGTATTAGTAGTAGTAGCAGCAGCAGTAGCAGCAGCAGTACCAGCAGCAGTCAGCAGCCAGTAAGCTAGCAGTAGCAGTAGCAGCAGTAGTAGCAGCTAGCCAGTAGGCAGCAGTAGCCTTAGCCAGCAAGCCAGTAGCAGTGCAGTGTTAGCAGCAGTCAGTTAGCAGTAGCAGTAGCAGCGCCAGTAGTACATGCAGTAGCAGCAGCAGTAGTAGTAGCAGCAGTGAGCAGCAACAACAGCCGGCGGGGTAGCCAGCCAGTTAGCGCAGCAGCAGCGCAGCAGCGAGCAGCGGCAGCATCTGAGCCAGTAGTCAGTAGGTAGTAGTGAGTAGTAGTCTATAGTAGTAGTAGTAGTAGTTACGTAGTTAGTAGCCAGCCAGCGAGCAGCAGCAGCGCAGCGAGTAGAGCCAGCGCACTGCAGCGCATGTAGTAGTAGTAGTAGTAGCAGCAGCAGGCAGCAGCCAGCAGCAGTAGAAGCTAGCAGCAGCAGTAGCCAGCAGTCAGGAGCACGCAGCAGCGAGTAGCAGCAGCGAGTAGCAGTAGCCATGCAGTGAGCAGCGACGCGCAGCAGCGAGCCAAGCAGTAGAAGCACGCAGCCAGCGGAGTGCAGCGTCAGCGAGGGGAGCAGTATGCAGCAGCAGCAGCAGTAGCGAGTCCAGCAGCGAGAGCAGCAGCGAGCAGCAGCAGCAGCAGGTAGCACAGCGAGCAGCCAGCAGCAAGCAACAACAGCAGCCCAGACGTCAGCAGACAACACTCGCGTGAGAACCCAGTTCACTGCCACTTGTAAATTATTCGAACACAATATTCTAGATCGCTATATATCGTTTGAGACGGCGCAGAAAGAGAGAGGGGCCAGAAGAGCAGAGAGCAGAGAGGAGAGGAGGAAGATTGCGCGATGAGAGAGTCCCGCTGCTCACACGCGTGTCGTCCATCACAAGTAACCCAGCCGTAAGTGTCGTTCGCATGTAAATTGCATGTACATGTAATGTTGTGTGTGTCCATCTCCGAGGAATGCTTCGTGTGAGGAGTAGAGAGAGAGGGAGAGCGAGACGCAGGATGAGAGAGGAGAGGGGGGGGGACGAAAGAGGAGGAAGAGATGAGAGATGAAACGAAGAGGGGCGGAGGATGAAGCAGAGGAAACGGGAGAAGAAAGAAGAGAGAGACGTAGGGAAGAGAGAGAGAGAGAGATGAGACAAGGACAGAGCGAGAGACGAGAGAGAGAGAGAGGGAGCGCAGAGAGGAGAGAGACCGAGAGAGAGCGCAGCGGGTGCCGGGGGGCGATTGCGGTGGGGGCAGAGAGTGAGCAGCGGGGGGAGAGAGAGCAGAAGAGAGAGGGAGCAGAGCGAGGGAGAGCGAGGAGATGCGACGAGGACGAGCAGCGGGAGGAGAGATGGAGCAGAGGGACGGGCGAGTCAGGCCAGCTAATGCCGAGGCACGATGAAGAGATGGAGACGGGGGGGACGGATCGGCCGGAGAGAGACGAGAGAGGGACGGGTCGCTCCACCGCCATCTCCACCTCATTCACATCTTCGTGACTGGGCGGGGGCCGCGGCACACCGTCCCAGCATGAGCCCGGGGGCCGAGCGGCCGGGGCTGATCTGTATGAGGAGAGAGACAGCTTCGGAGCAGGATGGTGGTCTGGAACGGGGTGGCGGCTGACGGGGGCTGAGCCTCGGAGCGCAGAAAGAGAGTGTAGGACGCCCAGGAGAGGCCCTACGGCCGCGCCTGCCGAAGCAGAGAGAGAGAAAGATGAGACGACCGATGAGAGAAGAGAGAGCAGACCAAGCATAAGACTAAACGAGGTAACGAGAGCGCACGAGAGATGTGTTGAGCAGAAACGGGCGGGAGGGGGTGAGAGACGAGAGAGGAAGAAGAGAGATGAGAGAGAGAGGATAGATGCGCTGCGAGAGAGAGACAGGATAGAGAGAGCGAGAGAGCGCGAGAGAGAAAAACAAGAGAGAAAGACGCAGCGGATTAGAGCGGACGAGAGGAGCGCGAAAAGAGAAAGAGAGAGAGAGAGAGAGATGTGAGACGAGATAGAGCAGAGCCGAGAGAGGGAGATGAGCGACGGAGAGGGAGATGAGAGAGAGAGAGAGAGAAAGAGAGAGAGAGAGGGCCCTCGACCCATTGGAGCAGACCGTCTTCTCTTTCCCATGCAGAGAGGATTGAGAGAGAGTAGCCGCGGAGAGGATAGAGAGAGAGGAGAGAAGAGAGAGCGCGAGAGAGAGTCCCCGCTGCTCACCACGCGTGTCGTTTATTCACGATTGTAAACAGCCGTAAGTGTCGTTCGCATGTAATGCATGCTACATGTATATGTTGTGATGTTCCGATCTGCCGGAGGGAATGTCGGTCGTGAGCGAGAGCAATGGGCGGCGGCGCGCACTGTCGCTGGTCGTCTGCGCACGGCCCGGTTTAATTATGTTCGTCGTGTTGAAACACGGAGTAACAGCGCCTCGCATCTCTCTCTCTCTCTTCTCTCTCTCTCTCTCTCTCTCTCTCTCTGCTCTCTCTTTCTCTCTCTCT